GAGAACATTACATTACGTTCCCACAACAGCATGAATGTGTATGTCTTATCGCTTGAACACGACCCAGACAATAAAAGGGCGTCTGAAATGTGCCTTATGAGAAAGGCCAAGCCAGCCTTAGTAATAACACCAAGTGGGGATGAAAGAGTGGACAGAACTGAGCAGGGCACAGACGTCGCAGCCCCGCCAGGACTGCGCTGGGGGCTCAGAGCTCCGCCTCGGGCTCCCCCTCTCACCCCAGCTGAGTTCCTTCAGGCCCCTCAGGATCTTCTTTTCTTTTTCTTTCTTTTTTTTTTTTTTGAGGCAGAGTCTCACTGTGTTGCCCACACTAGAGTGAGTGCCGTGGCATCAGCCTAGCTCACAGCAACCTCAAACTCCTGGGCTCAAGCAATCCTGCTGCCTCAGCCTCCCGAGTAGCAGGGACTACAGACAGGCATGCGCCACCATGCCCGGCTAATTTTTGTATATATATATTTTAGTTGGTCAGTTAATTTCTTTCTATTTATAGTAGAGACGGGGTCTCGCTCAGGCTGGTTTTGAACTCCTGATCTCGAGCAATCTGCTCGCCTTGGCCTCCCAGAGTGCTTGGAGTACAGCCGTGAGCCACTGAGCCCGGCCATTTCTTGACATGTAAAAATGGGAATTATATTTCATGGGAGTTTTGGAGGGAAATCCAATAATTAGAAAATGCTTTCAAATACAATAGGTACCATCAGTACCAGGTAAGAGCAACATTTTGCTTCCTAGTGCTGGGAATTTGATTTCTGTTTTCCTGTTTATTTCCATACATATTCCAGTGCCCGAAAGTGTGTTCTCTCTCAAAAATCCCCATTTCTCCATTCAGTTGAATGATTCATCAAGAATCTTGGCCCAAGTACAGTGCTGTTTCAGGGAAAGCAGACCTTAGGGAGTGAATTGGAAACACAGTCATGACTGTTCTAATCACCTTGTTATAAGGCAACACAGCACATATGAAATTCTCCACAGAGCGAACGAGGAGGGTGTGGCTTAACTTTTGTACGCTGAGTCCTATCTGGTGACTTCGCACATCCACTCCCTGTCCTATGCCAGCAACATGTGGCAGTTGGGGGCAGGCTGGGTGAATGCTGAGGGGTCACCTCAGAGCGAGGTTAGAAGAAATTCTCACAAATAGGATAACCATTAACAATTTTTTTACGTTCATAAACATTGGGTTGTCGTTTTTGAGATATAGACAGTGCAGGGATGAAAGGCTCATCTGATGAATTCTGGTGCTAAGATGTCGGGGGCCAAGAGAAAGATACTCGGTTTTGGTGTCCACCTCTTCTGGTCAAAACAAAACAAAACAAAACAAAACAGAAACTTCCCAGAGAGGTTTCTTGTTTCTTGTGGCTAAACAATCTCCTGCTTGTTTATCCCCATGACTTTATTACTATCTGAAAAACAAGACCATAAAATGTAGGAATAATATGAAGGTACAAAAAAATAAACAAACCTTGGAGCTTTCATTTTGGATGGTGAGTTACAAATCTGAAGTGAACACAATAAGCTACTTTTAACTATTTTTCCAAACTGCTCTTAAAATTCCCAGGGACCCTACTTTACACAACAGCTGATGTTTCGGTTGGAGCAAATTTAATTTATATATTTTGAGTATTGATTTTATAATTTATCACAAAATAACTTTCTTTTGAACTGGCACCTTAAAACACTTTGAAAGATTCCTAGTCTTAATCTTGCAACATTTTGAGAATAAAATATTCTCTAGGGAAGTGTTCATTATAATGCAAGTTAATGAGAGGAAAAAGGTTTTCAAAAGACACAATGTTGCCTTATATCAAAGGGTCAGGAAGGAGCATGACTGCTGGACACATCCACGGTACTGTCACTCAGAGTTCTTGATGAGTGTTGCCAGCACATGGCATTTTGCACTCTCTTGTGATATCTCCTTTGACCATGAAGTGAGGTGAGCAGGGTGGAGGTTATGCTCTGTTTTATGGATGAAGCAAGTGGGGTCCAGAGAGGATAGGCGATTTGCCTTCAGGACAGAGAAGCAGCTAGTGGCAAAACCTGGGTGAGACAGGAAATGCAATGCTCTGGGCCGTATGCTCTGTAGCTTTATGCATATATGTATAAGACATAAAAATTAAATCTCCTTTATTTGTAAACAGCCAAAGCTATTAGACTGTAATTCAATTCACAAAGAGAAAAATATAAACTAATAAATACTTGGAAAAGACAAGGTCTTACAATGAAGAGACTGGGCAGGGGAGGACACACAGTGCTCAGGGCTGGTGGCCCTTGAGTTAGGGAGACCGGTCTCTTGTGCAGGTGAGAACTGCGGCACACATAATACCCGGATGTTGCCAAGGGCACACACGGGTGGCATAATCAATGACAAATCAGAAACAGGACATGAGTTATGGGAGAGGAAAGAGAAAGAAGCTGGGGTCCATAGCCCAGCCCTGAAACTCAGAGAATCCTGAATGACCTTGCAAAAATTAGACATCGGGGTTAAGTGGGTAGACATTCGCCTCCTAAAATCCCACCCGCAGGAGTGCTGAGTGGCAAAACAACTGGAGGAACTAAGCAGGCAGCTGAATGGAGTGTAACTCGTGCACAAGAACTCGCACAGCAACAGGAAGCGGACGCCGGGGTGACCCAACCTGGAAACGATGCGAGTGCAGACCCAGACTTTGGGCCTCTGCACAGTGCAGAGTTTCCAGACTTTGAAAAGATTAGCTGTTGATACCGGCTGTTGATCTCAATCATGTGCACAGTTCCGTTAGCTGAACGGGACATTTTGTTAAAGCACAATTCTGGTTTGCAGTCAGTATGATTTGGATAATACACTTTTCTAAAAAAAAAAAAAAAAAAACAAAAAAGAAAATAAGAACCTCTGCTTCAAAACATAGGATGTTTTGAAGGTTATAGTCTTGGCATTTAGAAAAGAGTAAACCGCCTCTTGGCTTTTGGAATGTGGCTTATATTACAGTTTTTTTTTTTTTGGAGTTAGCTTCCAGGCAGAAGATAAATTACTCTGTACCATATAGTAAAAAATTACTTCTGATTACCATACTTTTAATATGTCAAAGGATGGCCACCAGTCATTTCAAAGATATTCATAAAATGTATGTGGTTCTATATTATATAAATGTTACTTGGACAAACATGGTATCTACTTATCTACTAAAGGATAATGTCTAACAAGGGGTGAAAAAAGCCAGAAGTTTGGGATTTAGAGACAAGTGAAAGCACAAAGAAGGGAGACTGAATAAGAAGCACAGAAAAAGAGGGAAGGAAAGAGGGAGCGAGAAAGAGAGAAGGAGAGAGAGAGAAACTGTTTCTGGAGAAGCTACGTAAGGATCTCGGCCAAAGGTACTGAAACCAGAGCGATTCACTGTTAAGGGCTGAATTGCGTCCCACCTAGATTCACCTATGGAAGCCTTAACCAACCCCCGTACCTCAGAATGTGACTGCATTTGAGGATAGGACCTTTAAAAATGCAACTCAGTTAAAATGATGTCATTATAGTAGGCCTTAATCCAATCTGGCTGGTTCCTTATAGAAGAGAAAATTCAGACACACAGATCCCAGGACGTGTGCGCACAGAGGAAAGACCACCTGAGGACACGGAGAAGGTGGCCGTCCACAAGCCAAGGACAGAAGCCTCGGGAGAAACCAACATGCCCGCACCCTGATCTTGGACTTCCAGCCTCCAGAACTGTGAGAAAGCAAACGTCTGTTGTTGAAGCTGCCCAGTCCGTGTATCTTGTCGTGGCGGGCCAGGCAGACTAGTGCCTTTATTAAAGCCCTCTGGAGGAGGCAGTGGAGACCACTCCACAGTGGGGCCTGAGCTCCTCCTGCCACATGCAGCCCCATCACGGGGAGAAAAGTTCCCACACAAGCGTGGCCGCCCCGCCCCGCTGCACCTGCTCCCTGCGATGGTGTCCTTGCTTCAGGAGCTTCCTTACCTGTCCTCCGGGCAGCTGCCACCAGTATCCCAGAGGTGGCATGACAGACCAAGCCTACCTGTAACCACACGTGGGCTGCAGCTTCCCCCAGTCAGGGCTGAGCTCCCACCACCTTTTCCCCTCCAGAATCCCACGTGGTCCCTGGCATGACTGCATGCTGAGTCAACGCCACACCTGTACCTTGTAGCGATATTGTGCTTACCTTTTTTTTTTAGAGTCAGAGTCTCACTCTGTTGCCTGGGCTAGAGTGAGTGCCTTGGCATCAGCCTAGCTCACAGCAACCTCAAACTCCTGGGCTCAAGCGATTCTCCTGCCTCAGCCTCCCGGGTAGCTTTGACTACAGGCATGCGCCACCATGCCCGGCTAATTTTTTCCATATATTTTTAGTTGGCCAATTAATTTCTTTCTATTTTTAGTAGAGACGGGGTCTCGCTCTTGCTCAGGTTGGTTTTGAACTCCTGATCTTGAGAGATCCTCCCACCTTGGCCTCCCAGAGTGCTAGGATTATAGGCGTGAGCCACCGTGCCTGGTCTGTGCTTGCTTTTTGAATAAGAGAAGTATCTCCTTTTATGTCTTTAACACCACTTTGAGCACATGAGCAAAAGGAGGTATCACAAGTGTGCCCAGGAGGGGGATGTGACAGGGACGGGGGCTTGGGCCAGAACAGCTGGCACTGTCCTGAGTCCCACTGCCCTGAGCAGAGTGGGAAGGCCATCGGAGAGACACGGTCTCGGGGTGACACACGCAGAGCACGTGCTCGGGGCTCATGGTTGGGGTAGCTTTGGGTAGACTGGGTTTTCACATGTGCTAGGGAAGTGGAACGGGTGAAGTCTAATCGGACTTTCAGTGTCCTTGTGGACTCTACTTCAGCTGACAAGAGCAGGAATGTATGGGGAAAATTCCACGACCCTGTCAAGCCGGACCTCAACCTGATAGTCCCCAAGCCCCATGGAAAGGAGTGTGAACATGACACCAAGTTCCCCTTTCTTGAAACCTGTCCATGTGGCTGGGGCCACAAAACAGTGGTTTCTGCACCTAGATTCCTACCTAAGATCCACTTTTCTGACAAATACTTGAGAGTTGCTTTCTTCTTTCCGCAGTGGGGCCCAATGAAGATGCTGGCCTGGCGGGCGGCCCCGCTGATCCGGCCTCCGCACAGGTGGACCAGCTCATGCAGCTTGGCCCTGGGTGGGCTGCTGGCCGGCGAGATGAACAGCATTGGCTGGTCGGCGAAGAGGGTTCCCTGGTACTGCCCTGCACACAAAAGGCGCTCACGTCGGCACACCTGTGGGGCAGACGGAAGGGAGAATCACAAATCGGAAGCATTTCCTACTTTATTTAGAGCAGGTTAACTGTGAAGCTCACTTCCTTTCTTGGGAAGAGAATAGACTGCATGTAAAGTTGCACGTTTTTGGGTAGATTTTGAATTCTGAGAACCCGGTGAAGATAATGATGTCAATGATGTAAAACTGACATTTTCTCAAGCAGTCATCAGGGAAACAAATTTATAGGCAAAAAAAAAAAAAATTGTGTAGGCATTTGAACCGTTACAAACTCTAAAACAAAATTTTGAACAGTAATCAACTGTTCAACCGAGTGAGGAGAACTGCACCTACATCCTGTAAATTCTGTTTCAGGAACGTGCATGGCATGTGCAAGTGAAAGCAAGATCCTAATGTTCTATAAATATGGTCACACTGGCAGAGCATCATTCAATCCAAGGTGCTCCAGGGCTCTTGGCAGCAAATGACTTTTACAGGACCTATTAATAAGAAATGCTGTAATCCAGCACCACGGTTTAGACCGGTGAATGAGGTGATATAAAAGTAGAGTTCCTACAGACATTCCCAAAACATATTATGCTAGACTGGGAGGAAAGAGTGTCTAGAGGTTGCTTTAATGAGCTAATATGGAAATAAATGGTCACAAAGAGTGTCACAGGCAGTGGAAAACATTCGAGAACCAGGATGTGAAAATTGTGGTCCTTCTTATTGATAAGGTATGGTCACCTGGTCACAAGGGAGAGTGGGAGGGCTGTTATTCTAAACACACATTTTACTAACTACAGATCGTTAAAGACGTCTTTGTATGCACAAATACCTTCGGAGAGATGATGAGGGTTATCTGTGTTGTTTGGAGAATTTTAACCTGCTTATTTCTCCTATCTCTGAAATCAAGGGCTCAGAGAAATTGGGGGTTTTGATAGAGGTATGTTGGAAAAGAGATGAAGGGGTCCTTCTCAGGGGACTGTAACCTGGGCTGGGGCGGAGGAGCCCTCTCAGTCAGGGCAGCAGATGGGGCTGACCTGGAGGTGGGAGGGCAGCAAAGAATACGTCCCCCCAGACAACATCCCTCATAAAATTGGAGAGTGAATTGTTCTTCTGCTAGGTTTTCATCTTACTGTTGTTTTTAATGAAAGAGGTTCCTACTATGAAAAAAATAACTCCAACATTAATGGAATCGACCCAATACACTTAAATACGGCCATGGAATTCTTCTTCTCTTCCTGTGCCTGGAATTTTATAACAAAGAGCTGGGCATTTAACAGCTTGACTTGTGTAAGTGGTGACAGGATCTTAATAATGCGAATGATGGGCTGGGCGCGGTGGCTCACGCCTGTAATCCTAGCACTCTGGGAGGCCGAGGCGGGCGGATTGCTCGAGGTCAGGAGTTCGAAACCAGCCTGAGCAAGAGCGAGACCCCGTCTCTACTATAAATAGAAAGAAATTAATTGGCCAACTAATATATATAGAAAAAATTAGCCGGGCATGGTGGCGCATGCCTGTAGTCCCAGCTACTTGGGAGGCTGAGGCAGCAGGATTGCTTGAGCCCAGGAGTCTGAGGTTGCTGTGAGCTAGGCTGACGCCATGGCACTCACTCTAGCCTGAGCAACAAAGCGAGACTCTGTCTAAAAAAAAAAAAAAAAAAATAATGCGAATGATGATTCTACTTGGATGGTGGTGATGTTAGTATTTTCAGCAATACTCCCTGTGAGATGGGTGGTGGAATGGGTTACTAATTTAACTTTGCAGACAGAGACCCTGAGCTGACGCATGCCAAGAGATCTGCTTTAGCTCAATGATGGCTCAAGCTGCAAGAAACAACTCACGATCACTAGCATCCACTAGCTTGGTGAATCACTGGACCAAGGTGCACCAAAAGAGGAGATCAAGAAAGAGTATCTTTCCTGTGAAAGTAGGACAGAAACACGCATTTAAAAAATTAATTATAAAAGTAATTGATAATTGAAATAAGACAGAAGGGAGTGAAGTAAAAAGGGAATTTTCCTATGTTAGATGCTGCTGTCTGTTACTCAGATCCACTCCTGTCTTTTCTTCCTCAGTGGCAGAATGTGGACTCCGTCCAGGGGCACTCATCTCTGCATGGCCACGTGCTCAAGACAGTGGCCATCCCAGCCCAAGGGGAAGACTCAGGATTGGTCCAAGCTAATCACTGTGATCTCATTTCCTAAGCATGGGCTGGTCCCAATCCTGGCCACATGGATCTGAGATGTGGGGGAGTTTTTCTGACCATTATAAACTGATGCATAAGCAGAAACATCTCTCTTCTTTGCAGGACACAGCAAAGTCTACAAGCGATGCCTGGATGACTGAGGCCAGGGACAAGCTGAAATGGCCCTGCGGGAAGATGGGAAGTCTTGGCTCCTCAATAACATTTCTAAGTCACTGGATTGACCAAACCGGAATCATCCTTTCTTTGTCAGGTAAAAATCCTAAATTCCTTAAGCTACTTTTTTTTGTTGAGTACTTTGTTTCCAGAAGCCCAAAGTATCCAAGTGATAAAGTTCTCATGCCCCTTGCCGCTTACCAGAGGTAGGCCTCTATTAAGAGTTGCTGTGTATTTTTCAAAATTCTGTATAATGCACACACCACGCACACACACATACACATCGATATAGTTTTTCTTAACAGCAAAAAGATGAGATCAAGTCTATAACTTACTGTGTGGATAAGCAGCAAAATCAAACCTATTTTTAATCCAGTAGAAAAAAAAGTAAAACTTTCAAATGTTGAGAATGTGACTTCAGTACCTACTTTCTCTGATTCTTCATTCTTCTCTCTGCCACACGCATTTAGCGAATGCTCACTGTCTGCCAGGCACGTGCAAGGTGCCGGGGGAGTACTGGTGATTGAGACGGGGCCCTAAGCTCAGTTTAAAGCATGTAATAAATACAAAAGCCAATGAATTAAATGCTTCCTTCTCTTAATCTAATTACTCAGCTTGAAATCTGACGAGACAGAAGTATTGCAGAGATCTGATTCTTTGCTCAAAACAATTGAGACTGCATGTGCTCTGTCTTTCCAAACCTAAGTAAAATGGTTTCTGGGTAAGTTTAGTCAAGGTCTGGGCTACTTAAAATTAAAAATTAATTTGGGAATTTACCTATGAATACACTCCCTGATGTATATAAGGATGTGCATGTACAAGGTGCTCACTGCCATAGAAACTATGAGGATTGGCATGTTTTATATTTATATTATAGATATAAATAATATGATATAATTGTAAGTGGAATCTATGCCAGGCATGTGATTCTGCCTACTACTGATCTCAGTTAAGCTCACTCCAGTAAGGGAAGGTCTTAAGAATGGGACTCGGCCCTGGTGCTCCCCAGGGATAGAGCCCTTAATTTTTCATCTCAGCCCCCTGGAACTGTCACATCACAGATACTCGGTGGTTGATGAAATCATCTAAAAACACAATTATCAACACACAGCCTTACACCTGGAGACCACTCCATGGCTTTGAAGGCACAGATCATAAAATTGCTTTGCTACAATGTCAGGTGACATTGCCTTAAGAATTCTGACCTTGGCTGGTTCACTTTCTTATCCAGCAAAGCACCATTTTCTTCCTATTGGTACATTTTTAAAAGTTAGCCGAGAATTATAAGGCCACAAACAGCACCAGAGGTTAACAGAGAGTGCTGGGCGCACCACACCGTGTTCTCTTACCATGCCCCCATTGGGCCTGCGTGTTACTCAAGAGCGAGGTAAAAAGCCTCAAATGCCCAAAGTCTGAAGTCAACTTGCGGTTGATTATTTTCACTGCCTTCTCAGACCCCTCTGCGATATCAATTCATGGCAATTTGCTCTAAATGCTAATTTCATTTCAAACTTTTACATGCATACACACCTCCCCCCTGAAACGGGAGTGTGCAGTGTGTGCGGGACACGAAGACATTACAGGACAGCAGAGGGAACAGGTGTGAGTCAGGCTGGGTGGCCGTTGTGGTGTGTTATTTCTGTCGTTACCTCAGTAGGGACCTCGGAGATAACCAGCCTCATCCATATTGATCTAAGGGCTTCTAGCTGAAGACGTTTAAAAGATAATTAAACAAAATAAAATTCAAACTTTCATACAGATATAAAATGAACACTGAAGGTTGTTCACTTTAACCAGGCATGGTGGTGCACACCTGTAGTTTTAGCTACTCAGGAGGCCAAGGCAGGAGTATCGCTTGAGCCCAGGAATTGGAGGTTGCTGCAGTGAGCTATGATTGCACCACTGCACTCCAGCCTGGGCAACAGAGCAAGACCCTGTCTCTAAAAAAAAAAAAAAAAAAAGTGTGTTCATTTCATTTAACTTAGATGTCATAACTGGTTCAAATGAGAATCTGGAGAACAAACACCATTTATAGATTAGAAATATTGAAATGAACTTGCAAATGGACACCAAAAATTGGCTTTTCCATGGGGAAGGGTGTATTCCTTCCACCAGACAGAACTCATTTTCTGCCCATTGACAAGAGTGTTTGCATCGCCAGCAGTTCTTTACAACTTAGGGTTGTAAAATAGCTCCAAGGCAATGAAAGCTGCAATCATACAACCTGGCAGGGTGTGCAGTCTAAAAAGTATAGTTTTTCAATGAGGCACAAATTTTTTCCTACAGCACCCAAGGTGTCTCTTTAAAAGGAATCATGAAAGAAAAGGGGATTTGGTGGAGTTTACTGACTGCTCCAGGGTTAAGTGGCCTGTAAGGTAAACAGCACAGGGCAGTAGTCAGGGTGACTTTGGGTGGAGTTCAGAAAAGTTCCACTTTTCTCTGCTAATGGTGACCTAAAGTGATCATTCATACCTACACATGTATACTTCTGTGTATATATAAGTCAGCAGACAGCCCGTGGAAGGCAGAAATCTATACCTGCCATGAGCTCTTCCTCTGAGCCCCCGGCTGCAGAGGATGAGAACCTCTGTGGACCATCTGCTAGGCAAGGCGGAAGAGACATTAGCTTTGCTTTAAAACACGTTGCCTGTGTTTGCT